CTTTATTGGTTTTGGTTTATTTGTAGCATCATTAACATTTTCCGAAGAATTTTCAATTCTGTGGGCCTTGAATTTATTTCCAACTTGCACTTCCAATCCATTTGCAATTTTTGTTATTACCTCATGTAAATTTTCTCCTTGTATTATGAGGTTGTTCTTCAACCCATGTTGCTCCCATTTATTGTAGTGCATTTTAATGCTGGTCTGGTGATTTCATTTTGCAATTTTTTGTTGATATCCAGTTGTTGCTTGTATTTTCCCAGTAAGACATCGTATTTATTATTTTTCTCATTCAATTTTGCCATTACATCATCCAGCGTGTAGTTTTGTGCTTTTGGTTGATTTTTGCTCTCAACGTTCTTGCACTTTTTGCATACCCATGGTTGTGAGGACTTGCTTACTAGTTGGTACGCCCTTGTAGATAATCCCACACAATTTTTGTGATTCCAAGTGTAACATACCTCACATAATAGTCCCTCTCGATTGGTTTGGACTTTTTTGCGGCAAATGTCGCATGTTTCGTTTTCATTCATATTAGCCGAGTAAAGCTATTGGCAACGCTGTTCTGCGTCCGGGTCTTGCGGATGCAAAAAACTCAGGAATGTTGATCTTTTTCTTTATTTTCTATGCTTGCCTTCACTCTCAGCGATGTAATGTTCTTTAACTCAGTCAATTACTATGTAATTGTCTTTATTTTTCACGTTTCACAAGAAAGATTTTCGAAATATTCGTTTGCAAAATAATAACACGTCCAACACTGTTGCCAGCTAAAAACTACTATTTTAATACTACTTTTAAATAGGGTTGCCAGATTGGAATATCTACAAATCGGGTATATCAATCAAAAAGCTGTTAAAAAATCGGGACATACAATAAAAATCGGGACACCAGTGGCGCAGCCAGAAATTTTGTCTGGAGGGAGCCATGCAGAAAAAATTATAGGAGTTTACACAGACCACCTATCCTTGAGAGTGGGTGTAAACCAAAAATCAAAATTTCTGTATAACAAATTCTAAGAATAATATTTCAAGCCGCACCATTTGATGCCTGACGGTTTTTGAGATATTTGCAAAATAACCGTGGAAGCGTGACGTCACAATCGCTCGGATACCGTGGCTCCCCTCCCACCCTGGCTGCGCCACTGCGGGACACTTTTTTTTTGAAGGAATAATTTGATATAAAAAAGAAATAAAATATAACTGAACAATGGAACTTCTAACAAAATTTAAAAATAAAAAATAACGCGTTTCATTTAATCCCCGGGAAATAAAGAAAAAATTTAATCCCTTGGGAAATAAAGTGAAATATAATCCCGGAGATTAAAAGACCCACTTTACCCCCTTAAAACAGAGATTGAAAGGGTACTTTTAATTAAAGTGCATAAAATGCATTAGTGTATTCTTATCGTCGAAACCAAAAGAATCTTGAATAATTATGAATAATAGTAATAGATAATTAACAAGTACAATTCAAAATTAAGTGTCTTATAAGTAGGTACTTTTAATTTTTTCCAACTTTTTGAAAAATTCCATAAAATCGGGACATTTAGCGTCCCGACGCATAGTCCATCGGGACACGGGACAAAATCTCCAATATCGGGACTGTCCCGTTAAAATCGGGACGTCTGGCAACCCTACTTTAAAAAAAAAATTATGCCAAATTTATCTGTTTATGAGAACTATTAAAGAAAAATGTTTATTATGAATGCCTTGACATCCATAATTTAACTTTTCTTTTCAAATTCTGGAATCGAGAAATTATGTGAAGCTATACAATTGTTTAAACCTCCATGCAAAATTCTTAGACTCAAGTAATGTAATGATCCGGAAAAATAGTCCCGATATTAACAATGTCTTTACTGTAAAAATTAAATGTAATCAAATAATCAAAAACTGAATTTCCGGTATTTCAAATCAGTATCGATAAATTGAGAATGAAACAAATTAGAGTTGACCCCAAATTAAATTAGAATATTTATATAGGTATGTTAAAAAAATTCTATTATTTAGTCACCAAGCGTGATGTCATCTCCTAAAATCAATGAACTTATTGAAAACGAGGCCAGAGTAATTAAATCGATGATTAATGGCTCACGTGTGCCGGTCTTCTTTGTGTTGTCCTCACATTCTTGAACCATAATGTGTTGACCCCTATAAATCAGGATATTGCGACATAATTATTCGATTTTAAACAAATAAAAATGACAAAAATTTCAAATAGATTGCATCATTATCTAGGTCGGCCAATAGGATTGACTTATTGATAGTCAAACAACCGCCTATTGAAGATTTTGGTGGATAATTAATAATACTTTTGGGGGGGAATCGAAAAATATAAAACAAGCGGTTTTAGAAGTGGAAATCAGTTGTCAGTTGAGTTCGCAGTTCAGTCTAGTTTGAGTTAAAGTCTTAAAGTCTACAGTAACTAATGTGTCAGTCCGAATAAAAATTCGCAAAGAGTTTCTCTTATTTTTGCCTCGGGTTTAATTTAACTTAGAAAAAGTACGGAAAATTGAGAAAGAACATTTAAAGGCGTTCAATATTATGTGCGAGCTCTAGAAATTTTTAGTAATTAATTATAGTATATTGTTCTATTAGAAGTAGAAGCTTTACTTTTTTGTGCTGAAGCAGTAGGTTTGCGAGCCGAACGTAGTGAGGTTTACAATACTGCTGAAGCACAAAAAAGTGCTTCTACTCCGTATGCAACACGCTATTTTTTCTCCAAACAAATGGGGTAAGCTCGGGGGTAACTGGATGGTTAAGCGGCAGTAAAAGTAAGAGCGGCACTAAAAGTACTTTTGCTGCCGCTCCAGCAGCACTAAAAGTACTTCTACTGCCGCTGCGGTTGCCTAGCAGCATAGAAATTAAATCTCTATCACCTCGACAGGTGCTAACCTGCTGTATTTGCCTAGCAGCATAGAAATTAAATTTCTGAAATCTTGACAGGGGTTAACAAAGTGACGTTTGGAGAAAAAGTATTTTATCGAGTGGCAATTTACTTTAGTGATTATTATTTTTCTGACTTTTAACAATGATTCTGAATGATAAGAAGTGAATTGACAATGACTTTTAATGCCTAAAAAACTTGAGTGACTAATAAAACTTTCCGACTTTATAAATGATGAATGACTATGAAGTGAATTAACTTTCGAACTTTATTGCATAAATATTAATAACTCGAGTGTTTGACTATGGAACATTATTGCATAACTTTAATTGCCTTCGAGTATAATGACATTTTAATTCAATTTTTCAAAGAAAATATAAAGGGAATTTATAACGCTCTTAACAATATACGATTTTGGGTAGGAATTATTAAAGAATTTTGAATTGGATTTTGATGTTTAAGGGTTATAGTAACTAACTAGTAAAAATTTAAAAACTTGTGTTTGTTGGCTAGGAATCCGAAAATAGTAATTGTTCTGATTAAATTAACCATTAAATGGAATGGGAAATTTTGAAAAGAAACTTGTTATTCATGAAGTTGTTGACCTTAAGTGCCGGAAATTTTGAATTAAGGTTTTTATTTTTCATGTAGAAATTATTGTAAGGTTTTAATAAGAATAAGTTAGTAATACCTATATTAATAAATACATAATTATTTTGATTTTGCATAAGCAGTCAGTAAAGGACTTAGGAATTTTTAAGAATTTATAGATATAGGTGAAAGGTAGTTTAATAGGAATGAATGGAATGAATCGGAAGTGTTTAAATGTATAAGAGTATAAGTTATTGAAAATAGTAGAAGTAGGGCGTTTTTCTCTTATGGTTATTTCCTGGTCCGCAATAATGATATTTGAACGGATGTGAAATAATTTGAATTGGGAAAAATAGAAGTGGCTGTCAGAATAGAAAGATATTTTGCTTATTTAAATTTTTGGTTTTATGTATAATAAAATATAATTTAGTAAACCGAAACCTGAATAGTTTGTTCCTCTCTTTTATGAATAGACCCGCCACAATTTTATAAGTAGTAGCTCCAAGTAAATAAACACCATCAATATTCCGCTCGCCATTTACCATCTAACCAATTACATAGAGTACTTGGGGCGTTTTGCTACAGTAAGAACCAAATATATAAACTAAATCCATTAGCCATTCATTATTTGTTTCAAATGGATGGCTATAAAAATCTGGGGAGATTATGGTATCCGAGATTTATAGAAAAAGTAAAATAAAAAAAAAATATTAAGTTTTGGTCTTTGAAATTCAATTTACTGCGTCAAAATTTGAAACTTTCTCCAAACACCACCCTGTCTGTATTGAGTTCAAGCTTTGACATTCTACGAAGAATGGATTCAAAGGATTATCATTTAATTTTTTTGAAAGAAATTCCATTAGGGAATCCTTTTGATATTCTAGTCTTGGATAATTTCTACCATTTCGGTGTTACGTATTATAACCACTGGGTATTTTGTATTTTCCATATCAATAATTCAAGTTAGATGCCTGCCTAAGATAATTTAAACATGACAATAAATATAATTTAATTGGATAGCGAATGGTTTAATTAAATATTTACACCAATATCCTAACAAAAAGGAATTGGCGTGTTCAAATGAGCCCATTCCGAGATGACTCCTAGAAAAGTTAACATTTTTCGAGATTTTTTTGAAAATGCTTATTTTCACTGTCTACATTATGTGGTCAACAGGAACCTACATTTTGTTGAGAGACTTTTTTGGACCGTTTGGTTGATATTGTCTATGGTTAATAATTATTATATTCTTACAAAATTAGTTTTATAACTAACTTTACTCTTTGCAGATCACCATGGTTTTTGTAGTCAGTTTATCATTGCAAAACTATTCTAATATAAAACCTACACTGAGAGTCGACACAAATTATTTGGAGTTCCAGACTCCATTTCCAGCTATATTCCTATGTGAAACACGAGAACTTTCCGGGAAAATTGAAAAAATGTTGAATGAGTAATAAATATGTTATATAATAATACATATATAAAAAAGTATTAGAAAATCGAAAGAGGGTTGGGGTGTAGTTGGGGCATAGCTATTTGAGGGGTCTTTATTATAATATACATTTTTTCCAGGGTAAACTTTACTGTAACAGACGGTTTATTCGACATCCAGGATTTTGTAAGGAAATCAACATTTATTAATCCCTTTGATGGTTCAAAATCTTTTCCTTTGTGCTATACAAATAGCACATTGACAACAACAGAAAATAATTATTGTAAATTTAATAACAAGTACCGAGGAAATATTTCTTATTTTTCCGAATACGTACGTGCCAGTTGTGAGGAATTGCTGGCTTCTTGCTACTACAATGGAAGAAAATTCAATTGTTGCCAGCATTTTCTGCCCGTAGACACTGTTGAAGGAAAATGTTATGCATTTAATAGTTTCAATGCTGTCATGGAAAATCGTTTCATGAATCAAACCAATCCAAAGTGAGTTTGTTTTAGACAATTTAAAATATGAAAAGTATGATAAAATTAGTTGGTCGTGACAAATTAAATGAAAATGGTAGCTACTGAAAAAGATCCATATGAAATTATCTTGAAGTTACCTTAGAAAAAAAATTCTTTTAGATATCAGCCAAAATCATTATTGTACAAATACTTACAGTTCATGTTACGTTACAATAATAAAGATAATCCTGGAAATTTATCTGTGGAACTGTCTCAACGGGAGATCAATATTTGGACCATGGGAAACACAAATATACCAACCAAAATTTACCGTGAAGATCATATTACTGACATTATTGAAGAATTTGGCGAAAAAGTGCAAAGTGCAAATATTTTTCTGAAAGTCAAAGTAAGTCATAATAAAATATACTATAGAGCAAAAAACTGAGGACATTTATGTATTTTTCAGGAAATTTTCCCTGCCACATCCGTTTACAATCTAGACGAAAATAGGCGAGGATGCAAATTTTGGTTTGAAACTAGAGATTTAAAGATTTTCAAATTTTACTCCGACTCAGCCTGTGAAATTGAATGCCTCAGGAATGCACAAATTCACTTTTGCGGATGCGTCTTTCATACATTACCCAACCAACTTGGTAAAAGCTTCAATAGTATATTTTCCTGTTGAATTACCAAGTAGATTTTAGGTATGAAACAAACTGTGTGTAATCAAACAGGCGTGGAATGTGCGTTTAAGCAAAAAGATGAAATTAGTGCATTCTTGTCCACTCAGTGCGACTGTAGCATCAATTGTCATTTTTTTGACGTGTCTATTATTGGAAAGGTAAAGGATAGCTGCATTGTATAAATTACTATAAACAGTAGCCATACGGAATGATTCCTAGATAGAAAGTGCCTTTGCCCTTTAGTAGGTTTGTCAAACTTGAACATAGGCGCCAGAATTTCAAAATTACTATGAGGACTCGGCTACTAGAAACATAGACTTAAATGGGACCAGTTGGCAGATACCCATTTCAGTGCAGGATCGTTAGGCTGGACCATTGATCGTCCCTGCATATGATTAAAATTCGTGCATTTTCGGCAGCTCGGCTATACTCGGCTTTAGCAGCACCATTGGCGTAGAAATTTTTGGGTTCTTTCACGGTATTTTTGGGACTTCTAATGGCGGGAATGCGGCCATTTAAACAAATGTTGATAAGAATTTATAGTAGAACGTTACTTATATTGTAAATGTATGAATTTGAATATTCATGTAGGACAACGACGTACCTAGCTATAGCTTTTACATGGGGGGGGGGGGGGTTTAGAGCAGTGGCGGCTCATGGTCTATGCTGGAACAAAAACTCCCCTTATATACGTCCTTGATGTAAGACTTGAATTGATTCTTTGTTTATTTCAATTTGGAATTATTAATAAAATTTAAAGGCCTTTTGGGAAAGGGGGCAAATGCCACTTTGTCCTGTCCCCTTTCCTGACTACGCCAGTCGCCCGTGGGTAGCATCGGTTCGATTCGCCTTAACCGGGTATAAACTAATTCGTCTTATCACTCCCTATGTGTCTAGTAGGTTTTCCGGTCTGTACATAAATTGTCCATGATAAACTAAGCAGAAAAGCCAGTACTCCGGTCAATTTAAACATGCAAGAGTACAAAAATTCCCATAGAGCTTAAAATTGGTATGAATGTTTGGAACACCATTATAAATAAATGCTGAAAAGTCCCCATCGATCCCGTACCTGGAATTTTTTTTATTCAAGGTCAATGGTCTCAATAATGGGTAAGTTTTATCATTTCATAAAATTAGGTCAGACAAAAATTGTAGATTATATTTATCTATGAAAAATGTCTCATAATATGTACTTTTTTTCCTAAAAGCCACCGATTATATGAGATATAACGATTCTGAAAGTTGAAAAAGTTGTCTTGTGGTCCACGATCAAATTTCGACCGTTGTACTATTTGTATTTTGCCTACAGGCACGAAACTTGGTTTGGTTTTCTTTGCTTTTCCTAGCCATACTGATGAGACCTGATAGGTCGAAACGCGTCTATGGATGGAATAGCAAAGGCATAGAAAATCAAACCAAATATTTTCTCATCAGTGGATAATAGGTTTTCCTATTCTGGGTTTTTCCCACGAACTGAATTTTGGTCGGCCAATTAGATACTCAGTCACCATATTGCAGCGAAAATTGCTGCTTGGTGTTGAGGTTTTGTCTTAGATGGCGCCACGATCAAATTTCGACCGTTGTACTATGTATATATTGCCTACAGGCACGAAACTTGGTTTGGTTTTCTTTGCTTTTCCTAGCCATGCTGATGAGACCTGATAGGTCGAAACGCATCTATGGATGGAAAAGCAGAGAAAATTAAGCCAAAAATTTTCTCATCATCAGTGGATAATAGGTTTTCCTATTCTGGGTTTTCCCATGAACTGAATTTTGGTCGGCCGATTAGATAGTCAGTCACTATATTGCAGCAAAAATTGCTGTTTAGTGTTGAATCTTTGTCTTAGATGGCGCCACGATCAAATTTCGACCGTTGTACTATGTATATATTGCCTACAGGCACGAAACTTGGTTTGGTTTTCTTTGCTTTTCCTAGCCATACTGATGAGACCTGATAGGTCGAAACGCGTCTATGGATGGAATAGCAAAGGCATAGAAAATCAAACCAAATATTTTCTCATCAGTGGATAATAGGTTTTCCTATTCTGGGTTTTTCCCACGAACTGAATTTTGGTCGGCCAATTAGATACTCAGTCACCATATTGCAGCGAAAATTGCTGCTTGGTGTTGAAGTTTTGTCTTAGATGGCGCCACGATCAAATTTCGACCGTTGTACAATCTTCATAATATGCACACGTTTCCACGCCACCCGTAAGGTAATATCACCGTACAGTATATTGTTCGTCGATTTTAATCTGATACTCGGACGGAATGTGAGCTGGTGGCTCCCTACATTAGAACGCCAATGGTTACCTGACGTCACACCTGTTTTTGCCATATGAAACACCCCCTCGCTCCTCATACCGCAAGTGTCAGTTAAAAATCTACGAACAATACTAAAGCGCGTTTTTTTTTCATCATACCGCACTGTTATCTTACTATAACATGAGCGAAATTAAACCTGAAAAGGTATATTTAACGGCCGCCGGTCGTTATTTATCCGCCGGCCGGTTGAAATGTAAATAATGGCCACCGACATGCCCCTATAGGAGAGTCTGCAGTCAGTGGCGCAGCTAGGCGTCGGCGACCGCCGACGGCCTCGCGCCCTAAGGAGCCTCGCAAAAAATAGGTTACCGAACTTAAAAATTGACACTTTTCGATTTTCCAAAATAAAACGTAGAGAACAAATAAACCTAATCCTATACGAAAATTCTAAATACTTATCATAGATTTCGCTGAAACTGCAAATTAACCTAGAATTCTCAAATCATATGGTTTCTATTTTTTCTGGTAGATTGTCGGAAAAAAATTAATATTTTTAACTAAATAAGTATTGTTATCAAATAGCATGCTTACTACTACTAATACTAACGTTGATATGTCCGGAGGCGATTTTACATAGTATACCATGTGGAGAGCATCGAGTCTATAAGCTCCGCCTCCAAGCCCAGTCCAGCTTTGGTTTTGGTACAGTATAAAAATGTCTGTAATGCGGAATAGAATGTAATCAGCAGTGCGCAAAATGAGTTATACTAGGTAATCGCGTTATACGCTCGCACGAGTCGCACACGGGATAACTATTTCAACCTATAACAAACCTGTATTTGGGTATTCAGACTATTTTTCAAATAACTGTCATGTCGAATAGTGGTCTCAGTTATTTTTTGAATTTTGATGTCAATTTGTGCATTGCATCCCTTTTTCCTGTTCCGCAAATTAGAACTGCCCTTTTTCTGTGCATTCTTGTTAAAGTTGTTATGCTGGACTTGGACAGACGGGAATTTTGCGAAAAGCTAATTTTTGTATATTTAGGGCTGGTATTTCAATATTACCTTAAAATCAAGACTTAACTAAGGTAGGTACCCTTAATGTTAAGGTGAACTTGCAATCAATTAATTCATTCAGGTGGCTTAAGATCCACCTTGATTTAAGGGAACTTTGATGTACGGTGAAACTTTTATCAAGGATGACTTAACGTTATTCTGTACCTTAAGGAAACACTGAAATACCGGCCCTAAGGAACGTTCTCCTAACTATCCAGTTTGCATATGTATCGGCACTAAGCTTTCCTATAAAACTCCTCCTAACTTCTGCAAAATCACTCCCCATCATTTGCATCTAATTAGAGCCTTATATTTTTTGACAACTTTCAAATTCCAAAGTTTCTATTTCTACCTCAGGTTGTAATTTTTTTAAATTAAATCTCTGTACCTACTCTGCTCACCCATCTTGCTTTGTTTTTACTTCCAACACTCGCACACTAAATGAAAATGAACGATTGTATGCGAACCGTGGGTTCTAGATCCCCTGGATACTTTCGGAGTTGTCATGCTGTGTCACTCCATCCATCTCCTTTTGCCAAATGCCGCGTTTCTGAGAACCCAACTACAAACTATACCGTATTTGACGCCCTAACTACATTGTATACCGCATTACAGATATTTTCAATACTGAACCAAAGTTGGACTAGGCTTGGAGGCGGAGCTTAGACTCGATGTTCTCTACACTATTTAAAATAACTGCTCGGAGCCTGCCGGCGGCTACCCGTCCATGCTTTTTGTCACAAGAAATCCTATGGCCACCCCACCCTACATAAAAAGGGCCTCGCAATTCGGATGTCGCCGACCGACGTCCACGTTTGGTTTGGCTACGCCACTGTCTGCAGTATGACGAAAAATTTAGAATGAAACACGGTCGATAACTGCAAATAATAGCCTTGGCTGATTATAATCCTCGGCTATCGTCTCAGATCACCAGGGATGCTATCAGCACTAAAAAAATTGTACCAGAAAGTAGGGAATAATTGTACTAGATTGGCGACATTGTGTACTAGCTGAAAGCGCGCGTTAAATTTTGAAATTTGACTACAAATTCGGCTGCATGTGCATAACCGAATAAAGTCTGTTTTTTTTTAAAGATAAAAGTCAAAATGACATTATGTTGGCAATAGAATGTAAATTTGTCAATGCTTTCAAATTTTTCATGTAGAAAAGGCTTGTGTTGCCAACATAGTTACTAAATTTTTGACTTGGGGAATTATCTTTAAAAAAAAAACAGACTTTAGTTCCCGACATGACGCACGTCAAGTTCTCGTTTGGCTTTAAGGTATGTTTTCGCTTGTGCGTCTGGCGGTTGCGTCATACAGGGTGTTCCTAAATATCATGTACAAACGAAAGGGGTTAATTCTTTGGTTAATTTTATGATTAAAATTTCTAATAAACATAAGTCCGCAAACGCTTCGTTACCGATCTATAGGGTGTTGAAATTTTGATTTTTTTAAAAGTTTTTTCTTGATAGCTCCTGCAATTTTTGAGGGATTAAGCTCAAATTTGGAATAAAGGTTATGCAATAAAAGCTGAATGTTTGCACATGTCAAACGTTTGCCAGAATCTACGGGGTGATGTTTTTTCAGTGGTCATGTCCCTTTTTCTGCCCCTGAACTTTCTCGCGGTGCGCCGCTGGTCAATTCTAAGGAATAAAATAATTTTTTACCCTATTTAGAAACTTTTTGTTCTCTTGAAGTTTTTTCGTATCACCGACCCTTATCGAGAAAAAAATTGAAAAACAAATCTCTGTAATTAGTTAGATGAAACTAAAGTGACTCGATAAACCTTTTCTACCTACAGTGGCGACAATAGAGGTCCCGCAGTCATATTCTTGCTCATTTTCAATGGGAATCGAGAAGCAAGACACCCCTCGCCGCCATATTCTTGCTCATTTTCAATATGAATACATTAAAATTTCAACACCCCGTAGATCGGTAACGAAGCATTTGCGGACCTAAATTTATTAGAAATTTTTGTCGTAAAATAAACCAAAGAATCACCCCGTTCCATTCGTACCTGATATTCAGGAACACCCTGTATATATATTTATATAATATATTACAAAACACGCCTACTGTTTTTTTTTGGAGTAATAAAAAAGTCTTAGTTTTGCTTGTATCTTACTTATTTTTCACAGTACCCTTCTCCATGTCGTCAGAATCCAAAGAATTCTCATAGGGTCAAGCCGAGGGCCAGACCCTGAAATATAAGAGTTTTCCACCAGAATGGAAGAAAACCAGTATTCCAGGTCTCGCCCTCGGCTTGACCAAAGATCTAGACGACTATACTATCTGATGTACTGAAAAGCGACAGCGAGCGTTTGTGCGCCGGCGGCGACAGAGCGCGCGGTGACACGGAGGCTGCGTCGCCTCAGACGTGGAGTGGGGGAGTAAAGAGGAGACGAATTGAGACCTGGCGGGCCAGAAATACAAGAGGGTAATCTCATAGGGTCAAGCCGAGGGCAAGACCTGAAATACTAGTTTTCTTCCATTCTGGTGGAAAACTCTTGTATTATCATTCAATTTATTTATATATCTTTATGGTTATTGTTCTCTTCACAAAAATATCATTCATACTAAAGTTATATTATAATTATTATTGTTCAAGTATCCTATGAAGAGTGAAAATGAAAACGACACTGGCAAATTGCGACTAAACATTATCACTAGAGCACCCTCTCTTCAGTATATCAGCGACGTGAAGCAAGAACTTCTGGATTTTATTGGTACCATTGACGATTGCCAAAAAATCTAAAATGTTAATCTTTTTGTTTTAGTTTCAATTGGTGGAGCTATAACGCTTTTCATTGGATGCAGCTTTCTCAGTTTGTTCCAAATAATTTATTATTTTCTTCTGAAACCACTCAGTGCACGGTATTTCTTAAAAGAAAGGCCAAAATATGGAAGATTTTTAATAAAACCAGAAGGAAATAAGTCATTTTGAGTTATACATCTTTTATTTAAAAATTAAATTTATAATAATTTAAGTAAATATATAAAGCCTATATTACAAAGCTTGATATAATAATTGTAAATAAAATATTAAACCACAAAAAATTTTTCAGTAGCCAATAAGTAAAAAAAATATGTACTTCAAAACAAAACACAAATTTAAAACAAATATAACAAGCATGCTTATTAATACTAGCGAAACATTATTGACGATTTTTATAGGCAATTTAATTATTACATACTAACAAGTTTTTTGATTTTTCTATACAATCACACCCAATCTAGTTCACACTTTTTGAAAAACACATACAAAAGCGGGTGCATTTTAAATTACCTATGATTCGCTTTAAAAGTACCGAGTACCATCCCATAGTGTTTTTTCTTGGTGGCAAAATATAATATCAAAACAAAAATAACCTAAATTTTGTGGCAAAGAATTTGAACAGGTACTATAAAATATAAAATCCTAGTATTTTTTTTTTGTAGGCATATGAACAATGATACAAAAAAAAGGATGAAAATGTTAACAGTTTTAAGTGTTTTGCTCTAAAATTTACAAATCTTTATACCTGACAACAGAAACACTAAATAATATAATAATATAACGCACCTTGAAAATTATACTACATACTAATATATAATCACAATGCATTAAGCATGTATGTATTTATCTCCATTTATAACATATGAGGATTTTTTTTTTAGGATATTTAAAATTGTTAGTGAAAGGAACATTGTTCTGCAAGCAAGAATGGTGATATACTTTAGGTTACCAGGGCTAACCCGCATGAGATAAAGTAAAAACATAAACAATTTTAAATATACTAAAACCCTCCTGATACAATAATTATCTAAAAGTCGCTTAAAAAAAAACAAATCAATTAATTGATAAAAATGTTTTAAATAGCCTAATCTTTTTTTTTTATCTTTTAATTAGATATATTTATTTATGGTATGGTTAAATGTTTTGTATAAATCAATATTATGAGGTCCAGTTGCACTGTGCAAAGTCGTAATTCTTCAAACTTGCACCTCTGTAAAGACAACTACTTGAAATCTGGAAGGAAAATACATGGAATTAAAAAATAGTCAAATGTTTGATTATGCACACAAGCTAATTATAATTATTGATTTTCAGTGTATGTAGCCTTTTTATCTTGGTTATCCTGTATGTGTGGACACAATATTGTAATATTAATTCCAAGCAATGAGAAGAGAAAATGTCTTAAAGTTCAATAATTATAGCAAACTATCACAAATCCTTTGCTTCACTTGGTATTTCCAAATTTGAGTACTGTTAAGATTAACAGAGCCACTGATATGATTTTGAGTAATATGAGATTCAGCCATAATGTAGAATGCAAATGTTTTAAATATGAGGAGTGAGAAGCGCTTTTTTGATTTTAAAAATGGCAATGAGATTTAATTGGTGGTTAATGAAGCATTGTGGGAGGGGATTGGATAGCTTTACATGTTCCAGCAAAGTAAATGCAGAACTTCTTCGTAGCTGCATAGATCGATTGTGGAAAAGAAGAAGCTTCACAAAAAATTTAGAGAAATTGAAGAGAATTTGGACTATTTGTTGTTCTCTGAAGTGAGACATAGGGGCAAGGATTTAAGGGACTCCTCCTATAGAATGTATGTACCTGCTCAAATCTAAAAATAAAATCAATGAGAACCCTAGATCATTTTGGTCACACTTCAACAATCTTAGGACTAAATTAGTTATGAATCAAAAGACTACAGACTTGTTTGCAGACTTCTTTTCTAGTGTTTATTCGAGCCATACCACTAATCAGGCTCTGGAATACTCATTTTCCAACGTCACTGATGTATCTGGATACTCTGCTTCTTGTGTTGAGATTTAATAACAAGTAAAAAATTAACCTGATAAGTTGTTATGTGGGCCGGATGGAATTCCCTTACTCTTCATAGAGAAATGCCTGTACACCCTTGCGACGCCCCTGGCAAATATCTTCAACCATTTATTGTCGACAAGTTTTTACCTGGTTTTATGGAAGTTCAGCTTTTTGAAACCAATATTTAAAAGTGGGTAAAGAGAAAGTCATAAATTACAGGGCTGTTTGCACACAGTCTGAGATTTTTAAGTTGCAGGATTATCTCATTACCTGAAAACTACACTGGGACTGTAGGTACCTTTTGAATCTGAAACAGCATGGGCTACCCACCATAAGCCAACATCAACAAGGATAACGCACACTTAACATGGGATTCTTGGGCTCTATGGATTTTGACCATTTTTTGATATGTTGTAGAGGATTTAATTCTTAACAACCTTTAAATGGGACGAAATCTTGTAGGTATTACGGTCTTTGAGATATGAGCCTTGAAAAATGAACTTTTTTGAGACTTTTTGTGTGGAGAGTATACGAAAAACTGGTGTTTATCAGTCAAAATTTTGACAGGTCGACCATATTTCACGTCACTAACAAATGTCAACATAGGCTAAGGCCAGGACCGCACTGGCGCCAACATTGACCCCAGTGCGGTCCCGGCCTTAATCTATGTTGACATTAATTTTTAAGTGACGTAAAATAGGTGAACCTGTCAATATTTTGACTGACAAACACCAGTAGCACCAGTATCTCGTATACTCTCCACACAAAACGTCGCAAAAAAGTTCATCTTTCAACGCTCATATCTCAAAGGCCGTAATAGGGACCGGTCACAAATTGAAATTCGCGACCCCTAGTGAGAGATGTCAAAAGTTTTTGTATTGATAGTTTGTCAAATTTTCACTAGAATTTCGAAAAATGGAGCTGGAAATACATTTTGGTTTCCAAAATATAAAATTTAATCACCATGAAGCTGCATACAAAAAAGGTGTGGCTCTAGTGAAAGCTAAACTTGTATTGCAAGTAGTTGAACGAGATTTTGGAGGGGACTTATCCATTTTGAAAGGGCATGTTATGCGCCAAACCTCCATAAACAGCTCTCCTTATGCTGTTGAGCTAGGTATAACAATAAAATGGACGCTACAAATCCTTGACTGTCTTTCTGGCTCCCACATTCTACTATTTTTTGAATTGGATCTTAAAACGATAAAGAGTAAAGTATTTTAACTACAGGCTTTTTTTTTCCCCAAGATAGATATTGACATCCTCAACTTTGAAACATAAACAATGCCGCTTATTGCTCGGAACATGCCATTTGCACTGATAGCAATTTCCATTTGTCGAACCAGTGTAAATTTTTTTTATCCTTATCCTTACATGCTACATGCTTTTAGAAAAAGATGCGGATAAACTTACTGCGCACTGACTGGCAAATGGAAATCACCATGATGTCAACCTGCTAGGACACCTCATTTTGCGACCAATCAGGGCCAAGAGGTATTGTTTACGTTTCAAAGTTGACAATGTCAAAATCTATTTTATGAAAAAATAGACAATAAATCAATACGAAAACTCAGTGTATAGTTCCTGTGTCTTTCCTGATCATGGGACCGACTAGGAAAACTGTAGAAGTGAACATTTCCACTTGTGTTGGCATAATAATTATTGCCACAGTTAACAACACAATAATTTGTGAAACTGTTCCTGGGTAAAGGCATGACAAGTAGTGGGTATGCACAATAGCCTGAATAAAAGATAATAAAAAGCGTTTGGCAAATAATAATTACAAGAAAAAAAGTGAAATTAAATACAATTGTTCCGTGTTAACAACCATACCTTTATAATGAAAAATATTTCGCTTTGAAATCGTTTTTAATAACAAAAATTACATTTGTGTAAATGGAATCAAGCACTTGTCATAATACAAGAACTTACATTGCTGTCGAAAGAGGGCGCTACTGTAGTTTATGGACGGACTCTATACCTACAAGATTTCGTCCCATTTAGGGCCGGTACGACAATTCAGGTATATCTCTTGTATAGGCTATACCTAGAATAAAAATTCATTATTGGGTTCGACAATTGTCGTATAAAGATATTCGGAGAATAAATTAGGGTATAAGTTATCCGGCCGTCCTCGACCGTATATACTCGAAATAAAGTTATACTGTCTTTCTATTGGTCGGGGTTGGGCTTGATTATCTGTGCTGATTAATAATCAGCTGATAGCTGTTAGTGTTTGTCGGTTTTTCCGTTTGTCAACGTGCATAATAACCTAAAAACTATTGTAAATTTTAAAATTGGTAATTGGTAATTATTAAGTAAGTAGAAACTTTGTAAGAAGGTATCATGATTTTTTTTTCTGAGAAAATCCAAAAAACCTGGTTTATGTTAATTAATTATTCTATACCTAAGCTGAAAGGGTGTACTTGGGTTTACAATTGAATACCTAAAATCACCATAATATGAATACAAATTATACAAAATTCCAAAATATAAGTGATGTCTTTCCATAGTGCAAACACGGCGCAAACACAAATAAATTAATATAAACAAAAACAAAAAAGGTAGGTTCAGTTCACAAATCATTTCTTAAACCCTTGCTATTTTACCGGCATCTGTCAAAAAAATGGTTGCCTCGAGTAACTAACTTCACGTTTCTCGGATAATCTCGGAATAACTATACGACTCTTGCAAAATCATTGTCGAACCGGCGCGGCGGTCAGATATACTCGGGATAAATCAAGGTATAAGATATTCGGGGTATTACAATACTGAGATTTATACTGGCATTGTCGAACCGGCCCTTAAAGGCTATTCAGAATTAAATCCTCTACAACATATCAAAAAATGGGAAAAATCCATAGAGCCCAAAAATCCCATGTTAGGTGTGCGTTATCCTTTGGTTTTTTATCAGAATTTTATTTTGAACAGCATGGAGAGGGGGTTCAAAGTTGATTCTGTATACTCGGACTTTTCTTTAACAGGGTTAATCATCGCGTGCTCATTAGGAAGTTTGGCTGTGTGCATGTGAGAGATCCGTCCAATTCTAAATTGGTTTCGTGTCTCGGATTTTGATGTTCCTTCTGGCATACCCCAGCGGTCTCCCTGTGGGCAGATTCTGTTCAATCCGTTCATATCTGATGTGGGTAGATCCATTGCACACAGCTCATTTTCGTCATTTGCAGATGACCTTAAACTTTATCTTCAGGTATCATCAATGGAAGACTCACAACTGCTGCAAGATGATATGATTCTTTTGATAAATGGGCCACTTTCACGTACTGGGAATATGGCAAATTATAATATTTTTGACGCAGATACATCAATGCAACCGAAAATGAACAATATTTTGCAAGATTTTAGTCAGATTATTAAATAAATTAATAAATAAAAACTAAAAATTTAAACGAAAAATCACGTGATTGAAAACGCTCTCTGATTAGCTAAAGCCGATTTTAACGTTTTTGTTGCCACATGTAGAAATGCGAAATTTAAATAAGTTAATAAGGAATATACCTATCCTTTTTTTTTATAATGTAGTAAAGGACAAAAATATACTCCTGGACAAAATTATCGCACCACTGCTTATGGTGATGCTTATGTGCAGTGGTGCGATAATTTTGTCCATGAGTATAGTTTCTAGCTAGTGAAATGTGTAATGATTTACTAATCGGAAATTTGTTTGTCTATAGAAAGATAGACTGTGGTGTACTGAAGGTATGAGTTGCAGAAAGACTTAAGTAGCTTGTGCCTGTGGTGTAAGTTGAACGGAATGAAATTGAATATTCAGAAATGTGCTCGGAAATGTGTGAAATCTGAGATCTTAACTGTATCTCCAAAAAAACAGAACATTCCATTTGATTATAAAATTTATGATGAGCAATTGGAAAGAGATAAAGACCTTGGAGTTTATATTGACAGTGAGCTACAGTTTGATTATCATTTAAATTATATCGGGTCTTCAAAAAAAAAAACAATCAAAGATTGCTATTGTCAACTAGCTGCTTAGGAAAGGAGGACCCGGTATTCAACCTTATTAATTTAATTGCCGATTCGATCGAATGTTTATTGCAATTCAGCAATAAATTAATATAAATTGCGCTGCAAGCCGCAGCAAAGGCAGACTTAAACCAGTGCAAGTACCTCTCGATGGAAAAGCCCCTCTGGAATTAAGTCTCCCCAGTGCAAGTACCTCTCGTTGGGAACGCCCCTCTGGGTATCTTCAGCCTTATCGTTGTCCAGTGCAATTACCTCTCGTTGGGAACGCCCCTCTGGACAAGGCATAAGGGTGACGATAAACTAATCTACAGTCCCCCAAGCAGCATTGACGTGTGGCTCCCTATAAGGGCCCCAGTGTTCGAAGGGTCATGTATCTTATAGGATTAGCATACATGTAAGGTTATATTTGGGAAAATATATAGCATATATTTTTATATAACCTGAGCGAGTTTCTCTCCATCAACCCCCAAAGCTACAAACCCCCCATGTCACCCCCGTAAAGCGGGTAGTTGTGACACTATGACTATTTGAACGTATTTCTTACAAATATTTTTCTTTAATTTTGTCAATGAACTTTAATGTCAAAAATCCTGACCAATAGAGAAACATTAATGCGACGTACGTTCAAAAAATCTTGGATTGGTTTTTTTTTGAAGACCCGATATAAGGAATAAAGCATTAAAAATGTTAGGCTTTGTAAATAGAACACTGACTGATTTTCGTGATGTCACGTGCTAGAACACTGACGGATTTTCGTGATGTCACGTGCTTCAGAACACTGTATTGTAATTTTGTAACATCAATATTGAAGTATGCTAGTCCAGCCTGCCCAGGGACTCCGTGTCATGTAGAATTCTAAATATCGACAAGATTCTATAGGCTCGGCCCTCTGTGCGGCATGCGATATGTTTCGATATGTCGAATTCTACTTGGCACGGAGTCCCACCCCTGGTCTCCATATTATAATGTTTACATAGATGTTTTGGAAAAGGTACAGAGACGATTTTTGAGCAGGCAAACTATAAATTTTAAACTGGAAATTCCTATGGAAGATATTAATAATAAACATTTGTATGGAAAGTTGAATTCACCACTTTTGGAAGTTAGAAGGACTCAATTTGATGTACTTACTTTGTTCAAAATTGTAAATGGCATGATTGACAGCCCTGAATTGCTATCAAGTAATATGAACCCTCGTCGGCATGACATATTTGCAATAGATTTTTATAGAATTTACTATAGGTTAAATATTCCTATGTCCAGAATAATGTTAACTGGCAAATTCAAAGTGTGGTTATGCTGTTCTTTTCTGTACTGATCTTCCTTGTTTCAAGCGATTTACAGCTATTCATTCTTAAATTGAATTAATTAGAGAAAGCTGGGTGAATCCAAAGTTTGTGAATCTATTAATTACCTATTATATTTTTTTTTTGTAGTTGTATTTTAATTTTTGTTTGTCTAACTTCGATCGGTGGTTTTTGATTATATATTTTGAAGACTTTATTATTATTTAAGAATGTTTATAATTTTGAACACTTTGTGTTTTGTGTGAGGTGAGTTCAGAATGATACAAAGTGTCGATACTTTTTACACTATTGACACTGTGGCATTCGTTACTTGATAAAAGTGTGTTTAGTATACACCTTATTTGCGTTTAAATAACTTGAGGCCTGAATGGAGTAAAGATGGTGGGACGCCGTTTACTCGGTACAAAATGATGCTGTATTCGGTGTTAAGGTAGGATTTTTAACTATCCGGCATTGCGGTGTGCGGTAGCGGTGTGCGGCTTTGCGACGTGCCGGTGAGTTGTTTACTATGTTGTAACATCGAACTGTTTTGTTACCATGCGTTATGCGTCAACAGCACTGTGGCGTCGCAAGCTGTCTTTGCGGCGTGCCGCTGAAAAACTCCAAAATGTTTTTCGACGACACCGCAGTAGTGTGCGACGCCCCACAACCTGGCGAATACTACAGTTCTGAGGCTTTTGTTGTTATATCCCCTTCATAATATAGTAAACAGGTCACGTGAAACTCTCAGGTATGCTTTAAATTGAGTTTCACTATCATTTAAGTGACGTTCAATGAAAATACGCTCCTTCTTGTGCACGATTTTTATAAATGTTTGATATTTCACTGCGATTTTCACAACAGTGAAATACAGCTTCCTCTTCTTCGAGCAAGAGAATCGCAGCAGTAGTACGACGAGTAGCCGATTCCATTTTTTGATCGCGACTTCAAAAATATTTGCCTGACAATTAAAAAACAAATTTGCCGCCAACAGCATGCGGGTTGCGATATTCGCAGCATCGCAGTACCGCACACCGCTGCCGCATACCGCAATGCCGGATAGTTAAAAATCCTACCTTTACACCGACGATTACACCTTCATCGCGTGATATAACCCTGCACGAACACCGCACCAAAGTCCCATTCCGAACTCAACTGTGGTGATATCACATTCAGAGGGTGACGACTGTGACATTCTATCATTGAAAAGATGAATCGTTCAGCAAAACCAAGATTTAACCCAACATATTCTGTTGATATTTGTAAACTGTTTACAATTAGTTTTGGTTCTGGTGAACGTAGCCATTGTTTCATGAGGGTTCTTACTTTATGCCTTCCTTTTTTAACAAATAGGAATTGACTGAAACAAATCAATGGCATCAAAAACGTTCGTCGGTTCTTAAACTATCAGAAGTCATTGGGTGGTATGAATAAAAACGAAGTATCTACTACTACTACAAGTATTAGTAGATTCTCCGTAGTATTTACTTGAAAACGAAGTAGATACTACATTTCGAAACCAGCGAAAATTAGTAAATGCTTCTTTTTGAAGTAAATACTCCGTAGCATATACTAATACTTGTAGTAGTAGCAAGTACCTACTTCGTTTTTATTCATACCACCCATTGGCTACGTTCACCAGAACCAAAACGGACTGTAAAAAGTTTACAAATACCAACAGAATACCTTGGGTAAACCTTGGTTCTGCTTAACGATTCAACTTTCCGATAGAACCTCACCCTATGTCATGTCACCACACTCACCACAGTTATGTTCGGAGTGGGATTTTCGTGCGGTGTTCGTGAAGTGATGATGGCGGTGTTAACACCGAATACATCATCATTTTGCACCGAGTAGACGGCGTCCCACCATCTTCACACCATTCGGGCACCAAGTTACTTCCAAACGCAAATAAAGTGTACACCAAACTTTCTCCTACCGATTTAACGAACACAGTGTCAATAGTGCAAAAAGTGTTGACATATACTTTGTATCATTCCGATTTATTGACTCCAACGCAGTGCGAGAAGGATAGACCTAGTTGAGGCAAAACACAACGGGATTTGACGTGCATGTTGTTTTCGTCAAGCAATTTGTCAACGTTTGTGTCCAACGTTAATTTTAAACTGAATTTTCGCGACGAACTACTTCCATGATTCCATGAACTCAAACGCTTTCGCGAGAAACTCATAACGTCATATTAAACGTAGTTCGCCGGAAGCATAGACGCAACTTCAAGCCAGCGTTCAAACTCATGACGTCACAAATGAACTATTGATGAACTACATTCGTCGCGAAAATTCGGTTTTTTATTCCGATCGGTTAAATTTCTTTTTTTTTATAAATATTACTCCCGGATCTGATTATTTTGTTATATTTGAGTGAAAGAATGACATAACCTATTACAGCCCTTAGATAAAAATATGAGTGTTTGCCTCAAATAGCTCTCTATCTTGCTCGGACCTCTCTTTCTAATGTTGGCTGCAAACAAACACTGTTTGAGAATATGGCCAGGGCCGGTCCATTAGTGAAATGTCATTGTTCCGAACTCACCTCACACAAAACAAGCGTTGAAAATTATAAACACTTAAATTATGTTTGCAAAAATGGCGACCGTTTGTGAAACATGTTTGGTTCCGTTCCAACACAAATTCAATGTAGCGTTCAGCAGAACAATCGTATAAGATTTTTACGCTATATTTAGGATGACGTGACATTTAGTAAATTTCTGCTGCCAACGTCATAAAACTAAAAGTACTTTTTAACGCGTTTAAAGTAGGGGAACTCCACATGTTGGTTGGCAACGGCGCGCGACTTTGCATGACTTTGCATATTTTCATTTCGTTATTTTTAGCTGTTGTCAGAATTATTGACACATGACATCTGTTTACCAACGTTTGTATCTGGTGAACGCGGCCATTAATTTTTGATGTGATTGATCAGTGTGGACTAGTGTCAATCAGTGTCAAAGTTTAAGTGTCATCTCGTCTCATGTTTATTAATAATTAATTCTGGTTTACCTCAATTCCTCCCAAAAGCTCAGAATTTTTCAATCCAGTCTAGTCAATTCCCAGTACATTATTTCTATCAAAATGGCCTTCAGGCCAGTCACTGATGCAGAATGTGGACAAATTAACCCCCTGACGAAACTCACCTCACATATTACACAGGATCATACATTTTCTGTGAACCATGGACAAGTTTTTCCCAGTACTTCTGATCAATTGGTCGAACAGTTTTTGCAAGAGACAAAAACTGTGCCACAGTCTTTTCAAATGGATGACTTGATGAGGGAAATGCATGAAATTGAATATGAAAAACCAGCTTCACCCATTGAAGATCAACAGCAAGACAATGCCTGGGCACAACAGTATCTTCAGGATGGCAAAACGTTCCAAGAGCATAATAACTATGATGACATTTGGCATCAAATGGCAGTCCAATGCCAAGGACAAGAAAATGTTAATCAAAATATGTTGTTTGAAGAAGCTTGGAAAGCAATAGAATCGTCTGAATTTATTCAATCAGGTGCGAGTGTAATGGAGAAAGCCAATTTATTGGGGAATTCAGTGGACGATAAATCTGACAATGGGAAATTAACTGAAGATGAATCCCAAGCTTGGACTGATGAATTTTTGCAGAACACAGAAACATTTGATGAAGTTTGGGCTGAATCCTGCAAACCTAAGGAAAAAAGGCGATCATATTGGGATGTGTTACAGGAAAATATGGAAAACTCTTTAGCAAGCAATACAAATATTCCACATTCATGGTTGAATGAATTTAATTCATATTATAATATTCCACATAAGGAATACGAATTTAGCAAACAAAATCCTATGTCAGATCTCCCTAATCCTAAGGAAAAAGGCAAAGAGTTATTAGAACAAGGGGATATTCCTAGTGCGGCCCTATGTTTTGAAGCTGCAGCAGAGCAAAATCCACAAAATGCGGAAGCTTGGCTATTGCTAGGGACAACAAAAGCTGCAAATGAACAGGACCCAAGTGCAATAAAAGCTCTAAACAAGTGTCTTCAATTGGAACCAACAAATTTGAATGCATTAATGGCTGCCGCTGTCAGCTACACAAACGAGAATTGTTACAATCAAGCCTGTTTTATGTTAATGAGTTGGTTAAAAAATCATCCGAAATATAGTGATCTGGTACCTCCAAATCTGAAACTAATACCGCAATTTACAAGCGTATTAGCTCAAGCCAACCAAACGCTAGTTCAAGATATTTATCTAAAAGCCGCTCGAAGAAATCCACAAAACTTAGACTACGAAGTACAATCTGGTTTGGGAGTATTGTGCAATTTAACAGGTGAATACGAAAAAGCCGTAGACTGTTTCAGAGCTGCTCTTTCTAAAAAACCCAACGATGCTAGACTTTGGAATAGTTTGGGAGCTACACTGGCCAACCAATCCAAATCAGAAGAAGCCATCGAGGCTTATTATCGTGCTTTAAAAATATCTCCTAGATTTATTAGAGCAAGATATAGTCTAGGAGTTTCTTGTCTAAATTTGCGTGCCTACATGGAAGCGGCAGAACATTTTCTAATAGCTCTAAATCAGCAAGCACGCGGAAAAGGCGTGTCAAATACAGAAGCCACTTTACAAATGTCAGACACTATTTGGTCTACACTTCAAATGTGTTTGATTTTAATGGAGAGGTCGGATTTGAGGTTTCTAGTACGAAGTAGAAACCTTCAAGAATTGAATAAGATTTTCAATATAGATTATAGTTATTAGTATTGCACCAATAAACCAAAATGATGTTTTAGATTATGTGGGGATGGATATACTATAAATATTATTGTTAGCTTGAATGCACTCGATAACTCATGAAATTAAAAATTGATTTTTTAAACAGCAATCAATATTTCTTACCTGTGTAGAGACGTAAATATAATATTGCTAATTATCCATTGACTACTGGCAACATTGCTTGCGCACACTGTCCGAATTCATGGTGGGTTTGACATCGATTGGCTCTACGTTTTGTGGGCGGATGGTGTCGCCTTCTGGCGGATCCCTGATTTGTTTTTGCGATACGATTCTGTAGATTTCTGTGAGTATATTTTGGAAAGCAAGATCGACATTGGTGGAATCCAGCGCGGATGTTTCGATAAAACTTAAACCGTTTCTTTCGGCAAAGGCTTTAGCTTCTTCGGTAAGAACGGCCCTTAAATGTCTCAAATCGGACTTGTTCCCGACTAGCATGATTACGATGTTTTGATCGGCGTGGTCTCTTAATTCACGAAGCCACCTGGGGAATTTTCAAATAAAACTTCAACAAATAAGAAAAAAATATTTTGGTTACCTTTCAACGTTCTCGTAAGTTAAATGCTTGGCAATATCGTAAACTAAGAGAGCACCCACTGCGCCTCTGTAATAAGCAGCAGTTATAGCACGGTACCTTTCTTGGCCAGCAGTGTCCCATATTTGGGCTTTTATTGTCTTACCATCCACCTGATAAAAATTTGAAAAAAAAAACAATTAATTAACCTTATGTATATTTATAAAACCTCTCACAAATAATGACTAATCAAAAACAAACAAGGTAAGTAGATTTAATTTTTCTAAACATAAAAATGAAACAGCGGAAATGTATTTCACTTTTTATTTTTAAAAACACTGAAGGTCGTTTACTTACCTGTATACTACGAGTAGCAAATTCAACTCCTATTGTGGACTTTGATTCCAGGTTAAATTCATTTCTAGTAAATCTTGATAATAAATTACTTTTTCCTACTCCCGAATCTCCAATCAGGACGACTGAAATAAAAAAAAAAAGTCTTTACTTTATGATATAAAACAGAACACAAAGCTGCAATATATTATTGGTTGTAACTTGACTATAAAAGCCAAAATTGCCCAAAATACTCCAAATTAATAAAACCCATGATTTTGAACTTGCATTACGTTTATTCTCAATAATTGCGACTCGTGTCTTTATCAAGCTGAAACTAATACAATGCCTTACTGGCTAGGAGTTTCGCTTTCTTTTTATAGTTTACGTTGGAACCAGTGTTTTCAAAAGAAAGAAAATCTACATGATTGTCAAGAAATAATCCTACAACAAAAATAATCCTTTAACAAAGCATTTTTCTCTAATATTATTTCCTGAGTTCATCACTGGTTGTCTCTCCCATAATGTTGAGCATTGCCGGACTCATTGATTTCTCTTTCTTGATTCTTTGTTGTATGTTCTATTATTCATACTGGTCTTCTTGCCTCTTCTATATAAGATTTTCAGCATTCCAGAACACCTTGTAAATTGAATATAAAGTAGCTAGTAAGGAATTGTATGTTTTAGTTAGCTTGATACAGACCGGAAATACCTCAGTCAGGCTTTACTCCAGAGTCCAGGTGTTTCAATTAATGTAAAAAAAGCTTTATTAGGGGTATTCTTTCGACCTAATCGAACTGGCCCAACTAATCTGATTTAACTGAAAGTGATTTTTATTTTTACATCACTTCGCTAATTTCTGTTGCATCAAAAGAACGAAAATCTATATCAGCTGATTTCAACTCATAAATGATCTGAAAGAAGTGAACGTAAAAATTCTGCGATCACTTGGGGTTAGGATTAAACTGATTGCACTCATTTGGTGGGTATAGTGGGGGAAGTGATCCGAAACCGGAAGAACACGGTTGAATCAGTTCAGGTGACTTCAATCAGTTTGTTCAGAACGAAAGAATACTAGGATTGCCTCAAAACAAATCGTTGCTACCAAAAAAAAATAAAAAACATTAGTCTGAGTAAATGAAATTGGAGGCATTTGAAAAAGTCAAATGTTGACGAAGCATAATATACCTCCATACAGTCACAATAATTGACAAGGTGTCCGATCAACTAATCTAAATCTCTCATATACAGGGTGTCCGTTTTAAGAGATACCACTATTGCTATCTCTGAAACAGTTAGAGGTCAGTTAAATTAGATAAAAGTGGAAGATTATTGTATCCATTGAAGGCAAGTTTACAGGGTGGCCAAATTTTTGTTCAATTTTGAGATTTAGAGGAAAATGTAAACACAACTAAGAGTCATGTGAAGATAACAATGGAATCGTCCCGCTAATTTGAAATGAATATTTCTAGGGTAAAGGGAACCACTAGAAGTGAATTCAAAATAACTGTTAACCAAGCATTGGACCACCTGAGAAACTATCAGAAATGTGCCTAAATGAACAAATGATACAATATTTATAAGCAAACAATATCCTCAGTGAATATTTAGCTGGTTTTGGGAAAAACAACTTGTGTGAAAGTGTATTACAGACATTAATTTTCAACTGGAAAGATGTTTTGGAAGAAGGAAAAATGATCAGCGTGGTTTTCTTAGATTTGAGAATAGAAGAACATCTGAAACAATTCAGATTCAGATTCTTTATCCATGCTAATGTTAAAAATACAAAACTCAGACAAGTCAATAATAAATAAATGTCCACACAATATGGAATCAAGTGTTTAAGCTTTTTTTTATTGCGTAATATTAATCTACATCGATTTTTAGGAGACCCGTGTTTTTTTATTTTGTCCAAAAGTTATCACTTACTTTTAAAAAAAATTATTAAAATTCATAATTTGAATTTCACTGTAAAGGAGCGAGTCACGTCATGGACCGCAAGTACCACACAATACCACTAGATGCCGTACTGTCTTTTATAAAGTTTAAAGTTTACTGTAGCATTTCGCATCCTGGTGGGACTCCGTGCCATGTAGAATTCGACATATCGAATGCCGCTCAGTCTGTTGAGCCTACGGGCCGAGCCTATAAAATCCTGTCGATATGTAGAATTCTACATGACACGGAGTCTCTGGGCTATTCTGTCACTGTGAAAACAGCTGTATCGTTTTTCAAGGTTAAAATCAGTTTTACGCTGAATGCCGTGAAAATATTGTAACAATTTGCAGTGACACATTTCTGGCATTTGTCCAATTAAATCTGGCCAAAAATATTAAAAATCCACCTATTTCTTGGTATGTATTTCTAGTGAAATGTTTAGTGAATGATATTTTACACTTTCTATTACATTTTCACGAAATTCAGTGAAAGTGAAAATTGATTCTATTCCTGTAAAAGGATTAGGCCAGTCAATGAAGCTTCGGAATTAACAATAATTGCAAACAATGTGAAATTTAGGATTTACGTTTTGTATGACAAAAAAATGAACTATAAAAATTTGCACCTTCCAGTGACGTGCGGAACATTGTTTTTTTTGTAAAAATTAAACAATTATTAATTACTTCTTCCCAAAAATTGCTAACAAAGTGCAAATTCACAAAAACGAGATGACTGATCTTCCAAATCTTGTATTACTTTTGCACCTTTTTTCATTAGGCGGAACACAATGAAAAATTATTTATTGTAAAAATGCTAACAAGTGCGAATTAGGATAATGCACCGTAAATGCCAAACAAATTATTGTATAAATTTGCACCTTTCAATCTCCTCCGGAAATGAGCAATTCGCATTAATATAACATATCATATGTGAAAAAACACCATTATTTGGAGGGAAAATTGCAATTCAAAAACTAGGTGCAAATGTTCAAATTGATTGCCAGAATGCTATGCAACATTTGCACCCAAAAATATCAAGCGGAAACCTTTTTTTTCTAATTTTTGTTTTTTACAATAATTACTGACATCTAGGAAATTACAAACAGGGTGCAAATCACAACAGCAATTCTAAATTCCTTCCTAAAGTCCATTGGTCTATGAAGACCCATATCACCCAGCCCTAGACCTGCATGTAATGGTGACAGAGGTACGGGAAAAAACAATTAATAAAAGTGCATATATCTATGACTTATGTTAAAGGTAACTTTTTACATTTGTATCAATTAATATCGGAATATGATTGGTCCTCTCTATTGTCATGTCAGGATGTGGGGATGGGTTTGAATGAGTTTTATGAAAGTATGTACAGATTCCTAGATAACTCTATACCAAAGATCAAAATAAATTTAAACAGTAAAGCTAAATTTCCTACCTGGTTCTCCATAGACCTTGTACGTAAAATTAGGAGGAAAAACAGGCTCCATCGTTCTTTCTTAAAAAACGGGCCAGATAACCCAGAAAGTGCAGAATATCTGTCATTGAGAGTACAAATTAAAAATCAAACAAAATCTGAATACAATGCATATAAAACTTCAATTGAAAGTAGGCTCATGGCAGATCCAAACACTTTCTGGGCATTCTTTAAAAATAAAACTGAAAATGGAATCCCGGTGGAAATGACACTAAATAGTAATAAATATAATAATGCTCTAAGCATTGCAAATGCATTTGCGGAATATTTTGCATCAGTGTATGGGACATCTGATTACTCTGACTGCAACTGGGATGATAGAGAGTGGGGTAATTTTTGTTTTAGAAAGATAACTGAATTTGATGTTATCAACAGTATAAAAAAGCTTAAACCAAAAAAATCTACAGGTCCAGACGAAATACCAGCATATATCTATAAGGGATGTGCTGAGATGTTGGCAAAACCTCTGGCCCATCTTTTTAACGTGTCAATTGAACAAGAAAGCGTTCCTGATCTATTAAAGCTGGCAACAGTGTCGCCAATTCATAAGAAAGGTAGAAAAAATGAAATACAAAATTATAGACCAATAAGTCTGCTGAACAGTATTACAAAAATCTTTGAAAACATACTGTTCAGTGAAATATATGATCACGTAAAGCATAGGATTAGCAAGTATCAACATGGCTTTGTGAGTGACAAATCCACTGTAACAAACCTCTGCATACTATCTGAATATATATCGAAGGCAATAGAAGATGGGCAGCAATTGGATGTCCTATACACTGACTGCGAAAAGGCATTTGACAAGGTGAATCATTGTGTGCTTTTAAACAAACTTATAAAATTTGGATTTTCCCAAAAAGCTTTTAATCTCATAAAATCATATCTGATTGACAGAAAGCAGTGCGTCAAGGTAGGTCGTTACTTCTCTAATCATTACATCTCCACTTCGGGAGTCCCACAGGGCAGTAACCTGGCACTGCTACTGTTTATAATTTTTATCAATGATTTGCCTGATTGTGTCACCAATTTGAGTTGTTTAATATATGCGGATGACTTCAAACTATTTAAGACCATATCCGACAAGCAAGACACTGCCAAATTGCAGTGCGACCTAGGTGAAGTAGCCGACTGGTTTCGTAACAACAAAATGAATCTTAATGTAGGAAAATGTGCAGTGGTGACATACACTCGTAGAAAGTCATATTTTGTTGAAGACTATCACATTAACGGAGACCAACTTGAGACAAAAAGCACAATTAAAGATCTCGGAATTAATTTTCAAACAAACGCAAGGTTTAACACCCACTACTGCGACATTGTCAATAAAGCATATCGTGCATTGGGGTTTGTACTGCGCAATGGCTAAAACTTTAAAATAAATACTATGGTAAAACTTTATAATGCCCTAGTGAGACCTCACATGGAGTACGCTTCAAGCATTTGGTCACCTGTGGCATTCTCTAACTCAGACCTAATTGAGAAAATGCAAAAACGATTCTTAAGATATTTGTTTGTAAAGGAAAATCATGAGTACCCATATATGGTCTCATACAAGACAATGCTGGAAACCTTTGAGATTCAAACATTGTCCGATAGAAGGAATAACCAAGCAATGATTTTTATATATTATATAATTAACAATATTAAATACAAAGACTGTGATCTAATTAACTATATTTCATTGAGAGTACCAAAGACTAGGCTTAGAATTACTGAAAATAGTTATTTTTGTATC